GCACGGGTCAAAGTCGGCTTGCTCGGCCACGCCAGACCACACGCTCTTCGCTTGAAGGTAAGTGTCGGCCGTGGCGGACGCATCACCACTGCTCGAGCTCTGCACATTGGGAAAAGATGAACAAGAGTGAGAATCGTCGCTGTGCCGCCCGGTACGCTTGTGCGCGTTGAACGCACCGTGGTCAACTCCGTCTTGGCTTTCTTGGTTGCGGCCGAAGCGGTAGTCGTGCTCGAAGTGGCGGCGGTCGCAGTGGTTGCGTCATCCTCCTCGTCGCCGAGGCTGTCGGCCTTCCTCTTCTTGCTCTTGGGATCGACCTGCATGGTGTCCGAGTCGTCCGCTGCCTTGGCCTTGGCCTTGGGCGGCTTCACTTCCTCCTCCTCCTCTTCTTCCTCCTCCTCTTCATCTTCCTCGGTCTTGATGAGGTAGGCAGAGCGGTCGACGAGCTTCTCCTCCTCTTCGCACTTGTCGAAGTAATCGGGTTTCACCCGCGCGACCTTGAGCTTCCTCGCCTTGGCCACCTGCGTGGCGTACTTGCCACCTTGGAGCCATGCGCCGCGGAGGAGTCAGGGAAGCCAAATAATAAAAATGAAAAAAAAATGGAAAACCCAAGGATTAATAAAAATATTAAAATAGTAAATAAAATGGAAGACTTCGAAGAAAGGCAGAGCCACGCACTGGCGTCCTTCTCGCTGAGGACAAGCATCGTGCACTGCTTGTTGAGAGCGGCGGCGACAAGGCCGCCGTACTCCTTCACTTTGTCTTCAACCGTCTTCTTGGCCTTGGCTGCAATCACGACGCACATGATAACGTCAGTTTTGCTCTCGCCAGCTAAGAGCGCAGGCGCTGAGATAGTTACCTGGAAGAAGGCACATGACGACCTGGTCCTCGAAGAAGGGAGGCGGGATGCTGCAACCAGGTCGCTACATCGTCAGCAATTTGCGCCATTTGGAGGGGGGGGTAACGAATGTGTGGCTTTTCGCTTACCGCTTGACTCCACGCCGTTTCTTCCGATCGTCGTAGCGCCTGCACAAATTAACTGCATTAAGCATAAAATGTGAAGTTGATTACAGACCGGGTGCAGGGCTTACCTCTGGAGGAACTTTTTGAGGTCCACGAAGCGTTCATCGTCGACCTTATACTCGTCTTTTTCGTCTTGAAAGGCCTTCTCGATTTTATCGCTGAGCTTTTCGTCATATGCATGCCAGCCGTCATCTCCGTGCCACATCCATTTGGCCTTGGGGAGAGCCTTCTTTGTCGCGGCCTTCATCACTTCTTGACAATGCCAATCATGTGGAGCAGACTTGGCGCCAATTATTTTACTTCCGGGAAGCAGTTTTTTGGTTCGCCACCATTCCTGCCGTTCCATGTTGTGGCCTGGCCTGGGTGGAGGTCAGGGCATGACGGTGGCGTGTCAAGGAGCTCTTCATTCAGCAGCTCTTCTCCCAAATAAATGGTCTGCCTGGGTTTTAACATGAGCTCTACAGAGGCGTGGCAGTTAGGGAGGGCCAACACACAGAGCACACTCCCCATGGTGAAGATGTAGGTCAGAATCACTGCAGCAGTTTTGGCCTCCCTCCACACCACAACCCTATGTGCTTGATAGTCTCCCATTCCCTGGGCCACCAGCTTGTCATAAGGGGTCAGTGGCCAGTGTATGCCAACAACAGGAGACATGAAGAGCAGCCACAGTGAAGGTGAGGTTAAGATATTGGAAGATGTGAAGAAGCACTTCATCAGGCAGCTGGAGTGCCTCTTCCCTCTTCCAGAATGTCTGTGCCACTGTGCCCTTGATGGTGGCAGCAGCTTGTTTTATTGTAGCCCTCATCCAGAAGAATGATGCCAGTTTCTCACCCCTCACCCCTCACCCTTGTAGCAATATTGTATTCTTTTCAGATAGTGGCATGCCATCATAAAAAGGTTTATGAAAGCAACAATGGTAAAAAGGGGTAGTGGTTGATCTGGTGCAGGCTAGGTTGAGAGCAATATTCAGTTGCAGTCAAATGTGCACTAGGTCAATGACAGAAGTGCAGCATGAAGAGGAGTAGCTCTAGTGAAGTCACTGAGGTCGAGATGGCGTGGAACACCTGCGCAGGAAAGCAGCAGCTTTCTTCATAACCCAATTTTATTTTCTTGGCCTTATTCTTTCTTTTTCCTTCCTTTCAACCAACAGTTCCTTTGTTTGGCGCCATCTTGTTGGTGTTTTGTGAGCGTGCCGATGGAGATTCAGGACGATGAACGGTCAACTGAGGGGGCAAAGAACAGTGCAAACAGCGAATCACTAGAGGACGAAGAAACGCTCATTGCACCTCTGGTATTCCAGTGCGGCCGCTGTCGGTGCATCGTGGGCGATTCCTTCTCCTTTGTCTGCACGGATCAGAGCCTTGGCCTTGTCTGTCTCTCTGGTTGCCCCCCCCCCTCTTCTTCTATTCACTCCATATGCGCTTTGATTCCCTTCCGGGTGTCTCCCTCGGCTCATCCGTGCATATTTTGCCTCGCGCACAGCGGTGACGGGGGTGGAGCCTTCACAGCGAGCGGTGCTCTCCACATCAGGCGCCGACGACGGCTGGTGCACCCACTACCCCTTCTCCCTCCCACCAGGAGTGTATGCACTTGGTTGGCTAACTTTCTGTTTCGCGCACCATTCAATGGTCAGTGTGTACAAAGATTTGGTGTGCACCACGTGTGGGGACTACAAGCTCGGCAAGCTCTACACAGCCACGCCCAAGCAGCTCGTGCACATGCAGTACGCGTCTCTCTTCCTTGTGCCACCTCTTCCCCGCACGCGCTACATTGTGGCTCACCTCGCATCTTTGTTTGTCA